TGAGCATTTTCCTCTTGCTTCTCATTTTAAGGGAAATACATGTAAGATTTTTTTCTTTTGAATAATTTTTACTACATTAAAAAACTAAGTTTGAGTTTCTAAAATCTAATAAGATTAGATTTTTTTTTTAGCACTGTCAGTAGCAATCCAGATGATACAAATGAGTAAATATTACTAGGATGTTATATAACTTCACAATTAATTTGGAGAGAAATAAAATGGTTGGCTCTTTGGAAAAAGAGACGGAAAATATTGGTAAGTTCTTTTGATGAGGGTTAACATGAAGAATGTTTCTGCTTTTGCTTTCCCATCGAGTGAGTTTTGTACAGTATTTGAAATCCTCCCCTTTACCACCCTGTGAGTCACTGTTCTTTGAGAACATATTGAGGCGTGGCACAGTTGTAGCATTTGAAACGCCTTGCTGATAACTGGAAGGGATTTTTGTTTTCAATTTCATATTAACAAGGAACAGTTTGTAGAAATATGACCTTCCTTTCCTAAACCTGGAATTATTATTGCAGTTCAGCAGCTTAAACAACACACTGCTATCATTTTCAGGTCTATATGAATTACACCCAAATGGTTATTGGTGTCCTTTGAAATTCTGATTATCCAGGGGACTGTTTTATTGATAACCTATGTAATCTGTTAGGGGAGAAACAATGATTCTGACTCCGTGAGAAGCTGCCTGGAGTATCCTATCATCAGGGTGTAATTCACTCTCATATTTCTTTTAGCAGAATTACCTGGGTGAGGAAAAGAAAAGGGGGTGGAATTATTAAAAATATGTGTGGACATATTTTTATTTATCTTGGGAGTACCCCTAGGAGTGGAATTGCTGGGTCATATTCTAACTCTATGTTTAACTTTTTGAGAAACTGTCAAAATGTTTTCCAAAGTGGTTGTACCATTTTACATTCTTGCTAGCAATGGAGGAGGGTTTAATTTTCTCAGCACTCTTGCTAACACTTGTTATTGTCAGTCTTTTTGATTATAGCCCATACTAGTGGATATGAAGTAGTATCTCATTGTGGTTTTGATTTATATTTCCCTGATAGCTAATGATTCTGAGTTTATAAATGCTCATTGGCTATTTGTATATCTTCTTTAGAGGAATATCTAGTCAAGTCTTTGCCCATTTTTGATTAGGTTTTTATTATTGAATTGTATTGAAATTATTTTATTATATTTTGCTATAATCTTTGTGTATGCCTGATTCTTTTTTTTTTTTCATTGTTTCTTTGATTGGAGTTGAGGGGAGGATAATAGTAGGAGCGTTAATTTTTTTTTTCTTGCTTATATTTTCTCTCTCCTTTGCAATCCTCTCTTTTGTCCTCAAGATTTGATGCAGTTTGATGATAAAGGAAACAAGACCAATGTACCAGATAAGGAGCGGCAAATTGAGGCGCTTCAGTTGCTTTTCCTCATTCTCCCTCCACCCAATCGTAACTTGCTGAAGTTACTGCTCGATCTCCTGTACCAAACAGCAAAAAAACAAGACAAGAATAAGATGTCTGCCTACAACCTTGCCCTTATGTTTGCACCCCATGTCCTGTGGCCAAAAAATGTGAGTGTTGAGGGGGAGAGTTAGGCTTTCTTCCCCTCAGAGACTGCTGGGTTTTCTTGGGCTGGGCCTCATCCTGTGACTGTATGTACCCTGGTGAGGTTATCAAGGGTCCAAGGTCTAGTCTTCAGCTTTACAAGTTTAGGAACTTCCTTTATTAGTTCATTTAAGAGTCATCAAACCTGACCGGCCCAATTCCTGTTAACCTCTTTTATAAATCAATCTCTCATAAACCTGAATGACAATTTATTAGTGGAAACTCTTAGTGGAAAATTATAGCTACAAAATAAACTAGAGTACCCATTTTGGCTGGTCATTGTGAATTCCTTCTTAACACGAAAGCCTTCTTGGGAAATCAAATTCATTTTTGAAGACTGCATAGTATAAATTTAGAATAGAGATATAGGATCTTACAGGATAATATCAGTAAGCTTTTAGATAAGGGAACACGTGGAACAATCCTGCCTGGTCCTAACTTTTCTATTTCCTGTAGATATTCTTTCCTTAGATAAAGCTGAATGTGTTTCTTATTACTAAGAGCATAGCCTTCTCAGTGACTTATATGAGAAATAAATTATCTAAAGTCTTTTGAACTAATTCTTGATCTGGAGGCACATAGCTTCATATTCCTGTCCATTCATAATATAGGTTTTACTGTAGGATGGAATTGGGAGCCCAGGATACCTGGGTTGGAAGCTGCAAACCACCTGTGACCTGTGTTCTTTACCCTTTCGATGCTTAGGCTCCTCCTCTGTAAACTGATCATAATAGTACCTTTCTCACCTGACAAGGTAGTTGGAAAGATAATAGAAATAGATAGGATATGGTGATTTTATAAAGTATTTTGGGGATATAAGAAATGAGAAAAGGAAGGTAAAGGAGAGAGGTTATGTGGTACGTTTTACCTAAAAAGTAAGTAGTGAAAAAATAATATAAAGTTCCAGGTCAGGAAGAACATCTGCCCAGAAAAAGGTGGGTGGGGATGGGGGTGGGGATGATGTTGCACGGGACGTTTAGGTGGTGAGAAGGAGAGGACACATCAACGTTTGTCCATATTAAGGAGATCAAGCTTCATAATGGGAAGATTTTAGAACAGAGACTGTGAAAAAGGAGTGAGCAATCTGCCTAGAAAGGGAAGTATTTACGAGGTCTTAATTAGTAAGAGCAAAACTTAAGTAACAAAGATACATGTTGAGGATGAGTGCTTTGGGACAGGAGAGATGCTGAAGTGCTTAAAACAAGGCAGGAGAAACAAGAGAAGGGAACCAATGACCATTGGACTGTGTTTTTAAGAAACAGATGTCACCCTTGGTATCAGTTAGTGTCAGTTCTCTTTTGTCTTTGGAGAAACTCCAGGTTCTCTAAAGAGGCAGTGTCCTTGGCGGTTGGTACACATTCTGTTCTGCCTGCCCCTTTTCCCCAATTAGGTCTTTAGCAGCTCTGCCTGCGTGTCTAATTCTCAAGCAGAATTAGGAAATGAAGGTTGATGCTCAAGGATTTCCTGGTCACTTCAGGGACACATGGTTCTTCCTAGCTTATGTCACTCCAGTGGAAATCTGTTGAAACAAAAAGCCTTTCCAGAATAAAACACTGTAATAGAGGCACCTTTGTTAGGGATAGAAGCTATCATACTTTTGAAAGAATAAGATTATGAGTAAGTACATGGAGTTATCTGGCTTCTACTTCCCAGCTGTTAATCCCCCGTTTTTGGTTTCTTTCCCTCTGGACAGGTCACTACAAATGACCTTCAAGAAAATATTGCAAAGTTAAACCATGGGATGGCTTTTATGATTAAACACTCCCAGAAACTTTTTAAGGTAGGTAAGGGGTGGGATTTGGACAAGGAGGATGGAGCAAGGTGGGATCCTAAGCAGGGCTATAAAGATGACTGATGACGAGATAAGAAAAGCCCTGACTGGACCTGGAAAGCGGATTAGGCAGGCGGTGGCAAAACCCAGAGGGAACAACCAAGGTGGGGGCAAGAAGGGGTACCTGGAGGCCAAGTAGGGAGGGCTCTGCCTCTGGCGATTGGCTTCACCCCTGTGTCATCCATCCTTTTTCATGAAAGGCAACGTATGTTGGACACTGAGTAGTTTCATCCTGCCTGCTTCCTGCCAGTAGACTTCTGAGGGTCTGACAACCTCCTTTCGTTTTGTACTGTTTGTCCTTTTTAGTCCAAACTAGCAGTGTTTCTGCCAACATAATTTTCTCAAGAACTTTGTGGGTCTCCTGTGGATTTCATGAGACAAAAGCCACATATACAAATATTTTGAAGATCAACCCTTCTCTACCTGCTCTCCTGCTGAGAATGCTGAGGGACAATACCTTTAAGCTTCCTAGAGGCCCTCTGGTTTGAGAGGATCTGTGAGGCACACCTTTACTCTCTTGAAAGGGCCCTTTGTGTGACTGAGTGTTCTAACCTTTTGATGTTTATAAGATATTAGCAAAAGGTTGTACAGTTATTTTCTTGGCCTTTTCTTTAGAGTGCACTTTTCCTGCGTGTGAATTTCTTAATTTTTGTGTCTTTTGCCATATGGAAAGGCTGAGAGTTTTTAAGACCATTTAGGTTTGGTTCCTTTTTTTTCTTTCTTTCTTCAATTATTTTTCTATTGTGGTAAAATACACATGACAAAATTCACCATCATAACCTTTTTTAAGTGTTCATTGGCATTAGTTACCGTATATTCATATTGTTGTGCAACGGTCACCACCATCCATTTCTAGAACTCTTTTCATTTTGCAAAATTGAGATTCTGTACGCATTAAACAATACCTCCCCATTTCCCTCGGGCAGCTACCACTCTGCTTTCTGTCTCTATGATTTTGACTATTAAGTAAGTACCTTATGTAAATGGAATCATACAGAATTTGTCTTCTGTGATTGGCTTATTTCACTTCAATGTTTTTAAGGTTCATCCATGTTGTAGCATATGTCATGACTTCCTTCCCTTTTAAGGCTGAATGATAGTCCATTCTATGTATTTTTCACATTTTGCTTATCCATTCACCCGTTATGGATACTTAGGTTGCTTTCACATTTTAGCTTTTGTGAATAATATTGCTATGAACATGGGTGCACAAATATCTCTTTGAGACTCTGACGTCAGTTCTTTTGTGTATAGACCCAGAATTGGAAGTGCTGAATTATATGGTAATTCTATTTTTAATTTTTAGGAACTGCCATACTGTTTTCCATAGTGATCGTACCATCTCACATTCCTGCCAACAGTGCATAAGGGCT